TTAGTCTTGGAAGAGCGCTCTTATCCGAGCAGAGCGAAATTTCCCATTGCATGGGGTGGTGTGGCTAAGCCGAATTCGCCGCTGCTGGAAGGCAAATGGCGACTATTTCGAATATGCTGTTCCACAATCTTTAGCCGTTAAGCTGAGTGTTAAGGGCATGTTTTTCGGGTTCTGCGATTTGCCACTTTTATACAATAGAGGAAATTATAAAACGCTGTTTTTTATTCACGACGATTTGAAGTGACGAATTTAATGCTGTAGCACTTTTTTAAATAATTATACTTTATAGGTTTTCAGTGAGTTATTCACCGACTTTAGTGCAAAACTGGATTGACAAAGAAAATAACCAAAATGTTCTGAATACGGTTACGTTAAAAGATTTCTACATCATTTGAGGGTTAAAAGCAATAAGCCCATCTTTATAATTTCCTATTCCTAAGAAAAATTAAAGCAGATGTCAAGTTTCAGCGAAATCTGTGCACGTTAACTATTCTTTCCACCTGCCTCCGTATAGTCGAAACACTGCGCATTTTAGTCTCTGTTGCTTCCTAAATCAAAATATGTGATTTCACTCTAAACTAGCGATATGTAAGTATAACGAATACACTCTTTAAAATATCATAAAAATCCTTATGGATAATTTCACTTTTCAAGAAATTCATCAAAATTCGTATATTTCAGAGCGATAGCTTCTTTGCTTACGCGGCTGCATTAAGCGGTTTCAACCGAGATAAGATTCAGTGATTTTGCTTCCACAGAGGCTGTTTGATTAAGATAAATGTTTCTATCGCATACCAACAATTAATTGCTAAATGTATGTACATATGTATGTACTATGTGCATTGCACCCACATACCCGTGTGGACAGCTGATTAAGTTAAGTGACATTTGGATTATTTTTGTTTTGTCTATTTAACGTATACAATTGCTTTATAAAAGTCTAGAACATTAATAAGCAGCACCGCATAAATCCACATTTCAAATTTTGTACAAAAATTATAAAAATTCAACAAACTTTAACAATAACACCCAAAAACTTTAAACTGTTATTCAGAGTTTGTAGAAAAATTTTAGCTATGCAGTTCTATAGCTCATTAAATTTTAGTAGGTTAAAGTGCAAATTTCAAGACGCTAGGAAATCGCGTTGATTTTTAATAATTGTTTTGGCTGACGGTGTTGTACATTTTCTCCCACCCATATAAGTTTTTATAAAAAAAAAATTACAGACATTAAATAAACAAAAGAAAAATAGCCAAAACTGATCAAAATATCACGTAACTTAATCAGTACATATGTACATATGGACGCATAATGGTAATAATTTGATTTTCTATACCCACCACAACATGCGCGTACAATACGCGTTTTCATAAGCGTACGCGTCTTATTAATAGTGCGATGTTTTATTTGATATGTCGAGCAACGTGGTGGCACATTGAGACACCAAACTGTTTGGCGTTCCTGATATGATTGCAGTTCGGTGGTGGTGACCTCAACAGGATAACTGCAAAAGGAAAATAACAAATAGTTAGTTTTCATTAATTATGAAGTACGTACAGTACATTTAGTTAAGTAAATACTCACTTTTCGCGTTTCTTACAAACATTTGGCCCATCCAATCCCTCAGCTAAATTGACGAGTAAATCTTTCGAGCAGGCAACGTTTATGCCGCACAAAATTATGAGCAGAGATAAAAGTTTGCAATATTTTGCTGTTGCCTTTGTTGCTATTGATGGCATTTTGCCTTGTGTTAAGCGGATACGCAAATGGTTTTATGGAAGAGTACGAAGTGCCAGTGTACAGAAGCTATTTGTACATTTAAATGTATACATATGTATGTAGGTATGTATGTATGTATTATTTATGTACGATAACTATAAGCAGTCAAGTGATAAAGGAACGAATAATAAAACGCAATTGCTTTCGATGTGATTAAATTATGCCACGCATAGTTCCAGCGCTGATGATTCAATGGCTACATATGGACAATGGTATACTGGCATCAGTGAAGAATTGCCATATCAGAGTGTACCATTTAACTGTAACGAAGAAAGAAAATAAACAAAATTGGATTAATATTTCATTGTATGCGTATAGGAATAATTTTATAGACAGTAGTATGCATCATATAGCATATACACATTTTGCGAAATTTGAATGCAAAATTAACAGGGACAGTCAGTCCCGCTTAATTATGCATATTTTCTGAGCTAAAAATATTTTGCTTTTGCTGCTTTTATTTCTATTTGCTGGAAGAATGTAAGGCGATCGATTAAGTAAGTGGTTAGTGAAATATTCGATTTTGCTGTGAGTTTATTGAATTATTGATTTCTAAACAACGTGCTGATATGGTTATTTATTAGGGCTTCAATGTTGAATAATTAGGTTCAATAGTTACATACAGTGGCGGTCAAAAATGGATGAATGGTATTTCGGTTTTAATATTTACAATGTTTTTCAAGCTACAAATTTTTTGAATGTTTTTTATTAAATATAGTTCATGCTTAAACAAAAACTATATAAATCACACTTCCAAACTTTATACAAAACTTCCACTTTTAGCATGAAAAACATTGTAAATATTAAAATTTAAACACCATTCATCCATTTTTAACCGCCACTGTACATATATCGCTGGCTTAGAGTGAAAATTTGTCAAGTCCAAATTTCTTTCAAATTTTACAGGGGAAAAGAAAAACTTCCCAAATTCACTTTCTTTAAATATTTTCTTTGATAACAAAATTTTTGCGTATTTAAAGCAAAAGATATCTAAACAAGAATCGGTTTATTCTTTTGATCTTATAGGATTTTTTGTGCTTTCTTTGGACTTAGCAAACTTGAGCTTCATTGCAAAAGTAAGTTATTCGGCCCTTTTGGAAACTATGCATTTTTAGTTTCTCTTGTTTCGTGTATCGAAATATGAGATTTGGTACTTGTGGACTTAGCAACTTTTAACTTTAAGCCAGCGTTATGTAGAAATATCTAAATAAATATCGCTAGCTCAAAGTGAAATGTTGCGAAGTCCATTGATACAAATTTGACCTGAGTCTGAAAATAACCGACAAATATTAAAATCATTGCAAAATCGTTATTTTTTTGTAATTTTTATTTTTTCGATTAAGAATAATCATTAAATTTGGATTTCGTTTTTTTTATGTTTTGATCAAATTAGATCGTTATTTTCTGATTTTTATTTTTTCGATCATTCGTTACAGAGAAGAGAGTGCGGTTTTATAACCGATTTAAATGTTTACTTATCTAAAAAATTAAGCTTGAAAATAACCCTTATTATAAATATGTCAGAAAAAAAATCAAAAATACCGATCAAAAATTTATCTAAAAAATAAAATCCAAAAATAACGCCAAAAATTTATCGAAAAAATAAAAATCCAAAATAACGATCAAAACTTTAAATAAAAATCAAAATATATATGACGACCAAAAACTGACCGTAAAAAATTTCAATTAAAAATAACGATCAAAAATTGATCGAAAAAATAAATTCATAAAATAATGGTAGAATTTTCATTATAAAGATCATAACCGTTACAAAGTTCTAACTCACAGAATATCACTTAGTGAACAAAGAGGCCATAAACGGCATTCAGCAAACGACTGTGACCATGCTCAAACCATTACCATTCTGGCATAGTTGGGACTGGATAATGGAGCTGGCTAAATTCTTACCTATCCAAAATATATTATATGTCTATATGTCTAGCTTTTGGACTCCAGCACTGCAACCAGTAAGTCCATTGTGCCCTCAACTCATCACAATACCTCAGCTAGCCCTAGAGGCTTTATAAATCTCTGAATAGATCCCGTGGGTAGGGAGTACACGGGCTCCTCTGATGGCCATAAATTGCCTATGCTACTCTCCCTTAAACGTGAAACACCCTAACACTTCAGAAGGAGGAGTAATGGCGTCTCCTCGGCAGCGTCACAGAAGCGACATGGGTGTTTTGACCAGATTCCCAGATTATACAAAGTGACTTCTTAGCCTAAAATTACCCGTCAAAAAGCCTGTAATTATTCTTAGTTTCTCCTTAGGGAGGCCCATTAGTAGCCTGTATGTTTTCAAACTGTACCCTCCTAGTAAATTTTAAGCTTGACGATGACCCGTGGTTTTACGCCAGTGAAGTTCCCGTTGCTTGGTATTCTCCTTTCTGAGCGATTCCTTAATCGTGCTAGGGCCTACTGAAAAAAATGGCTCGAGGCAGCGGCCCTTCTGGCTAACTGATCCGCCAGGCGTGTGCGCATTTCCGCCGTAATGTAAACACACGCCAGACCTTGAATCATAGTGAGGCTATGTCTCACCGTTTCCACAGTAGTTATGGAAGCCCAAGCCACTACCCGATAGGTTAGTATTGGTCGTACTATCGTGGTGAACATCCATCTTAGAATCCTCCGGAGTGCATCCCCGAATTTTCCCGCTGGAGGTTTACATACCCTCAGCGCACTTGTTGCCTTGGGGCGACTCAACATGAGTTCTGCACAGAAGTTCGGAGTGCAGGGTAAGTACCACATACTTCACTTCTGTGGCCACACGCCGACCTTGATCTCATCCAAGATCAAGTCCCTCATACCCTTGAGAGCGCTTTTCTTGTTGAGAAGGGGATGATGGCTGTCTTAGAACGATTAATATTCAAACATACATCCGCACACCACATTTTTGCTAGGTTAAGTCCTCTTTGGATGATCTCGCAGAGGGTGTTCTCTCTGGCGATAATCACTATGTCATTCGCGTGCCCTTGACAGCGGACACCCTCAGCAGTGATAATCTGTAGGAGCTCGTACACAACTTAGGTCGACAGCAGAGGGGATAACACCCCTCCTTGCGGGAAGCCTCCGTGCGACTTTTTGCTTCTTTAAACCGGAGAAAAATAAAATAAAATTAGCAATTAAATGAGGATTAAGTACAAAAACATTACATTTTAAATATCAAATAAGTTTTAATTGCTAAATATGGTAACTCTGTACATTCGAAAAGGGTGTAAAAATGAAAAGGCTTTGAAATAACAATTAAAAAACCATATTTCAAAACAAATATCCATAATCAGAAAACTTGAAAACAAACAAAAACCAAAACAGTTCTTTATTCAGAAAAAACACTCAACGCCGGTAGCAATTTTCAATCCAAGACATCAGCGAAATTGTACAGGCCTAAGAATCATGCACACTTACAAGGATGGTTTAAATTATGTTCCACTGTTGGCGGCACAAAGCACCCACATAACCAATGGCAATGGAGTTTGTCACAACTCAGCGCACCGGTGGTAAAAAACATATCGCAGCCGCAGTAACTACTTAAAGACACACTAAGTATAAACCCTATTTTTCTAGCGTTTCACCAAGGAACGGCGTCATCTGTTACAATGGCAACTATGAAGGTGACCTTAGCATGTTTGGCAGCAAGAGATTACACCGCCGCTTGGAACTGGTAGAAACCGATTCGGATACCGAGTATAAGCGTGAATTGGAAGCTTATCAGCCGCCGCAGCGCAGCGATAGAAGTCAACTGGCACGATTGGTTATATACTATTGCGATCGCGTCGTGCCGCCGTCAAGACGCAAGCTAGCCACAGCGTACACCTCTCGACTCTACAACAGTACGTATTACCAGCGCATGCGCGAAATGTTGTATGGAGCCTGCTGCTGGACGTTGTGGCTGTTGCGGTTGGTAATCTTCTCCATGCTGCGGCTGACCAATTTCAGCTATGGCTGTTGGCGTAGTTGTATTTTGTTGCGGAATACAGCACGTCGCCTGCTCTGGTGGATGACATTGGCGAAATGTGGTGATGTGAAACTTTTCTTTATGATTCTACTGGGAACGCCACTCGTGTTTGTCATAGCTATAGTCGGTTTCTTATTGTCCATTTATTGTGCGCTACGCGATTGTCTGAGCAGTTCAAATTTCTTTCAGCGATTTCGTATGAAATAAGCGCCATGTTTCTGAATATTTTTGCAACACTCATGCGACGCGGCATTACACTTGGAGTCGAGCGAAATTTCAGTTTACAACTTTTATAAAGCGCACACTACAAAACTAAGATTTATTTTAATTTTTTTTATGTACATATTTTGTATTAAATTTAGTAAAATAAATATAATTTTAACAATTTGCTTCGGGTGTTTTATTGTTTGTGCCTTTTTCATTGTGACGAGTATTTCCGTTTTAAATTAGCGTGCAATTGCTGGTTAATACATATGTTTGTATGAATGTGTAGAGAAGAGTGCAAAAATGCCGGTCTTTGTATGTATGTATGCAGATCCATTTGTGTGTATGTACATATGTGCAATACGGTGGTCAAAAAAAATAAAGTCGGAATTTTAATGCCCTCACCCCCTAGTAGTGTTCGACATCGAAAATTATACTCCGGTTTTTGGTTCTGAAATCAAAAAATGTTTAGAGGTCGCTCAAAGTTTTCCATGTATTTTATATACCTAATAAACATTTGGGTTGGAGATCCAAAAAATATGGGTCACGTTTTTTTCGATATAGAACAATCCTAGGGGGTGAGAGCATTAAAATTTCGACTTTACTTATTCACATGCATTTTTGGAACACCCTAATGTGCAATAACGTGGGCGAATACCGAGGTGCGTAATTGTTAATAGCATTTTCGACCCATAGAACTCAAGGCCCGAAAAATTTAAGCAAAGGAAAGTAAAACACTTAGCCGAACATTATGAAGGCTCCTTTCTAATAACATGCAAGAGAAAAAACAGATAGAAGAGTATTTTTAAGCGTTAACAAATTCCGGCAAGCGCGGTTTAGACAGCGGTCAATATCGATAGTAGTTAGACGGTTGGTTCTATGAGCTATTGGGTCCGGTTTCGAATCACTCGTCTTTGTCGTCGTATTCATCTCCGTCTTTGTTTTTGGGTTCATCTTCGTATTCGTTGTTGTGTTCGTATTCGTCCACGCATTGTCCTTCGCCTTCGGGTTCCTCTTAGTATTCATTGTTGTCTTCGTATTCGTCATCTTCTTCGGGATCGTCTTGTCTTCGTATTCGTCTCCGCATTGATCTTCATATTCGTTTTCGGGTTCATGTTCGTCTGCGTACTCGTCTCAGCATTCGTCTTAGCTTAGAACCGTTTCCGGACTAGTTCGGGATAATTTCGAGACTAGCTCACGACTATTTGAGGACCGTTTTGGGTCTAGTTCTGGACCATTTCGACACTGGTACAGTACTATTTCAGGATTAGTTCGCGGTCATTTTGGGACTAGTAAGAGCCCATTTTCTTTCAATATTTGTTCGATACAATTTCGGGGCGAGTTCACCACATTTTCACCACCACTTCAGGGCAATTTTGGGACTAGCTCGGGAAGGTTCGAAACTAGTCTCGAAATCTTTCTGAAATAGTCCTGAACCACTCTCGAAGTAGTTATGAATCGGTCGTGTACTGGTCACGAAAAAATTAATAAAATGAAATGTAATTAATGTTTATTTTCTAACCTAACCTATTTATGTATGTAGCTAAATCGTTTAACGCTTTTTTAAGCCATCCACAGACGTTTACACATCAAATTTCATGAGTACCTGGAAAAAATGATTGCAAGGGATATTAAAGTTGGCAGAAATACTATTCCCGAGTAATAAAAAATCGAGGCAGTTGTTAACGTAAATAGGATGCAAAGAACAAAGAGGTTGTTGCCACCATAATAAGGCCTTGGGACCGTGCTGAGGAAAAATCCTAACCTTTCTGTTAGAAAAACAGCTTAGCTAGGGAATTGTTCCGAGCTATTTGTACGAAGAGTGAAATAAGAGACGGGGCTTGAAGACCTACAAAGTACAGAAAGTTCAAAAATTTTTTAAAGTTGAAACAGTGGTTACTGAGTTATGTTTATTTTACAATGCACTAAATTCTACTGACGCACTCCTTAGATATAGATTTATACATATCAACTTAACTTCAGCCTTCTTAATGTAAAAAAAAAAAAATTTATTATTTAAAAAAAAAAAATTTATTATTTAAAAAAAAAATTTATTATTTATTTTTTTTTTAATAGGACTTCGCCACTTTTTAGAGTACTTTTTGCAAAGAAGCTATGGTTTATTGATAAAGACGCAGGTTGAAAACGAATGCCAGAGTCGTATAACGGCTTATCAATAGAATAAACTTCATAAGTAAACAACGGATGAAGTTACTAAAAACAATTTATGTTTACTCAATATAATGATGTGCTAAAACGCTGCCCGATAAATATGTGAGTGCTTTTACATACATATTGATACATACTCGTACATAGTACATACAATAGGTATGTATGAAGTCACAGTTAAATAAGCGCATAAAAAGTGATTTGAAAGCAGCAACACAACAAGTAATGGGCACCCAAATGGCATTGAAATGAAATTTAAGCACCAAAATATGTGGAAATCAAAAACTGCGTTTCGCATTCCTCATGTTTGCTATGTGCGTTACGGATATACATAAGTACATTTAAAATTCTACATAGGAGTATTTGTAGATTACAAATGTTTATGTAAATATCAGTATCAAACCATAAATGTGGCACCGGTTGCTAAACTGAATATAAATGTGCATATGTACATACTTAGAAATCGATGATTGGTTTTTTTTTACGATGACGATAACATTGGTTTTGTTTTCGTAATCCCATTAGCCACTCAGATATCCAACAATTGTCATTGGAAACCTAGTAGTACAATTGTGGCTTTTTTGCAATGCATTCTCACAGTAAAACTACACGAAAGCTTGCACATCGTATTGCTTACCTTTCTATGATGCACAGTGGTTCACAGCTAAGCAAAACTCTTCAATAATTCCGATCCGCTTAAGAGATACGCGGGGCAGCTGTGACTGCGTTCGATTCTTGATACGAGCAACATCTTAATTATAAACAGTCGCTCCTCGGCAGGCAATCGCCAGCCTCGGAGTGTATGTATTTCTGCCATGAAAAAGCTTCGCATACAAATCCATTTTCCTCTGGGAGGCAGAGTAAAACTGTGCGACCCTACATTTGTGTAACAACAGCAAGACGCATACCAAAAATAGAAGGAGAATCTCGGCCAAACACTTGTTATTGAACAAAACTCTTCAGCAATTCCTGTGAACTTACATGGTACATTAGGGCGCAGCACAAAAAAAAGATGCGGACTTTCCACCAGAATTATACAATTTTTGATATTTTAAGATGTTCGCCAAAATATTTCGAAAAACTATTAAGATTTACGTGTGCTGGAAGAACTATTTGAAAATACTGCCAAAATATTTCGAAAAACTATTAAGATTTACGTGTGCTGGAAGAACTATTTGAAAATACTGCCAAAATATTATTATTTTGATTCCGTTGATTAAATTTTTAAAAATTTTGATGCAGACCTTTTAAGCTTAAACTCTTCTATCATCTGAAGTGATTATTTAAAAAAAAAATAAATAAAAATTAAATATTATTAAAAACTGATTTTATTTATAAAAAAACTACCATACCCCTCTCCCAAATGCGACTAAATACTACCTGATTTAAAACATGAAGAAATGGTTCGGTGGTAAGAGATTTTGGTTTAATAAAGAAGTCATCACTTGAACAATCGTCTTCCTGGGATCTTGAGAACTGCTATTATTTGGCAGGGATAACACAATTCGAAGAACACTGGAAAAAATGTATCCTGACTATATCGAAAAAACGCCCTTTTTGCCGAAATATTTTTTTTTTGCTTAATAAAAACGTCTCTGACTTATCAAACTATCCTCGTGTTTCTACTATTTACTTCTTTTAAGTAAAAATACGAAAGTAATACCTTAAACCCGCGGTCATTCTTAAAAGGTCTCGAAGCAGTTACACTAGTTGTGGGCATTTTTTAGTAAAGCAAATCAAAGCAGTTGCTAATTTATCAGCAAAATTGCGCTGCTTGCCACTCAAGCGCAATATGTAATAGTGTGAGTGTGCCCTTTACAGATTTATAAGAAGCTTTTTGGATTTCTTTGTTTACATTTCGACAGGAAGTTCAGATTCGCTTTCAATCTGCGTGTTATATTATAAAAAGGAATTAATAGGCGCAAAAGTAAATATACGTAAAAACGGGTTATAAAATATTCCCATAAGGGCTAGAAAAGCAAGCGAGAAAAATGCCTTACTATTTCATAACGACTAGGAGCTCTAAGATGAAGTCGACCCTGAATCGTCATCGATTGAATTTATTTCGAGTAACGTTGGCTTTTAATAGGACCTTTAGAAGCTGTGTTAGAATACCTTCAAACCGCTCTGATATTCGGAAGTAGACGAGGTGTCAAATAAAGGAAGAATCGGAGCAAGCATGTGTCGCGGTGTGTCTGGAGCAAAGTTAAGTTGGCACTGCGTCATCATCTAATATTTCATGAATATTTTCTCCGTCTAAGAGAAGCCAATTTAAAAGACTTCCATTCAAAAAAATGTGTAAAGAGTCGAGGAGCACAGAAGGCATATCGCCTCAAGAGGTCAGAAAAAAGGCGGAGTGAAAAGTTTGAAGCATAATAATTTTAAAATTTATTTAACGAGTAGCATTCGGTTCAATTTGTAGAAGTGCTGTTAAATTATAAATTTTTTTTAGAAACCTTTTCTGTCACAGGGCCCCTCAAGAGTGCATCTGGATCAGTGCATTCTTCTCTTGTTGTAAAGCTAACCACGGTTTTCCAAAATGAGTATTGCAATTGCCTGCCGAGATGTGACCGCAATCAGCAAACATCTTTTTGGATATTGCACGAACCATGTATTAATCGTAGCTACTTAGAAGTATGCGTACGTATGCGTACTACCACGTTCTATCTCAAACCACTCGGATATGGATAACGGCGTAAGTGAAAGGTCAATTTATTACAAAAAAAAATATTTGATTCGATTTACAATACATTTATTAAAAATTAAAAGACGTCACCGGTACCACTGTGCGACTTAGTTATTTAAATGCATTTGTGCATGTACATACATATGTACATTTATATATGTGTGCAGCTTTATTAACAGGTGTCTATGTGGGTCAACAATGTAATGTTAGTTTTCTTAACAGTTCAAAAGTATTTT